TCAGCAGACATACCCTATGACCTATGCATTCTTTCACATGATACATCAAGAAGATGAAGACTTCTTCATCATTTTGTCCTTGGAATATATGAATATTAACTCATAATTATAATACTGTCACTGAGAGGATACCAAATGTATTTTCTTACAATCTAAGATCTTGGGTTTTCAACATTCATTAAAATAGTAAAAAAAAAAAAAAAAAAATTAACATAAACTAGAAACTAGTATAACTTCAAACAACAAAGTTTCCAGTTTGTTAGAAATATCAAAATGATCTTTAGGTTCACATTTAAAGTTGAAACTTTTTAAACAGTTTTACAAAAATGATTTTCTAGGCCAAAACTTTGAGGGTTAAAAATCTAAAGAACTTGTTTTAACATTAGCTTCTAAAAAAGCTACTTTTGCAAAATTTTAGTACCAGTATACCTTAAAAACATGTGTGGATAAAGCCTGTGCATATAAACTCATATAAATATACACTGAACCACATCCCTGTATACAATTCAAAATTTATTAAGGATTTATTCTTCTAGGGACTGATCTCAAAGATTTCACGTCAAACAGTTGCTTGCCACAGGTCAAGTACATCACGGTCATAAGAAATAATTAGAAAGGAAGGAGAACTATGCTTTGATACCAGGGTTCTGTGGGAGCACAGAGAGTGGGGGTCAACACACCAGTGTCTTGTAGACTATGTGCCACAATAACAATGTCAAACGTACAGTCTTCAGCATGTCTTCCCTCCTTTTGGCTACCTAAGTTTGAGAGCTACTTCTCCCAACACTCTTTACCCCCTACCCCAAATTGACCAAATCTTGAACCACTAAATTAAAAAACCTAAACTAGCAAGGGGAACTATCTAGATCTTCCAATGGTATGGTAAAGAGGGACTTCCTTGGTGGCCGGAGACAAGGGTTTGATACCTGGGTGGAGCAGACCCTCTGGAAAAGGAAATGGCAACCCACTCCAGTATTTCTGCGTGGGAAACCCGACGGACAGAGGAGCCTGGAGGGCTACAGTCCATGTGGTCGCAAAGAGTAGGACACGACTGAACAACAACAACAGTAAAAGAGAGGACAAGATGTCGCTGCTCTCTGCTTGGCGTAATCATAAACCGAGAAACATTTCAGAACCTGCAACAATTTGCCTGCAGCATCTTCCAGGCTGGGGCTTGCCATGTACAGCTGATGCTGCGTTTGCGTTTGCTGATGTCCCATCTTCTCATACCCCAAGAACAAAGGAGGAAAAACAGGAAAAATAATCTGGGGTTCCTACCTGCCAAACTCAAGCAGTCACAGGGGAGATGCCCTGTGCAGCCAGCCCTAGAAATAATCCCTCTTGAAGGTCTTCCACTTCCTGGAAGAAAAGCTGAGAGTCCAAAGAACCTGTGTATCAGCTCTGCCACCCACCAAACAACAGTAACAGCAGCAGCACTTCCAAGAAACACAGCTAAAGCAGCAGAGTATGTGGTTCATATACGCTTCAGAGAATCTGAAATCACATCTATACTCAAATAAGGGGCACTGCAGGGCACTGCTATGGTGGGGGGGTGGGAAAGCACGGCTGAGTCCATCAGTAACCTCACTGTACGTTATCCTGTACTCTCAACTTACAGGATTCCCTCTCTGTCCTGGAGGGAAGTTCAAGATCTTAAAGAATTACACCAGGTAAACCCAAGCCAGAGCAGGAGGTGTTGCTATCAAGTCTGCTAGTTCCAAGACAACAGTGGTGCGGCTGCAGCCAACGATTCCTTGGCACATAGACGTGTTAAAATGATACTGGCAGCGGCACCGGCTCTTCTCTTTCACCCTCTGCTGTTACTATAACTTCTTTTGCTAAATCTGCCTCTGAGTTTAGACAGGAGCTGGATGGCTCATAATCACCCAGCAGCTGCAGCTGAGCAATAGGCAGCCTAATTGTGGCGCTGGAGCAGCTGAGAGGAAGAAAAGAGAGACATACCCCACCGCAGCCACACACAAGACGGCCGCACACACTACCAACCAGATACCAAGATACTTTAAGAGGAACAGATGACTTCATTTAAAGAAAAGCAGTTGTACCTCGCTAGAGGAACTTGCATTTGTGTTATAGACCTGTTTAAATGTGAACTGAAGGTGACCTAAGCCATGTAGCATTCTGAACAATGGAAGATCTTAACTAAAACTTCCTGTAAATATTTCTCACAACAAAGCCAGCGCCACAAACATCACCATTATAACATAACTGAAAGTTCCTGTGATGTAACAATGTGGCACAGACATGATCTCTTCACCTCTGCTTTACAGCAAGGCCAAGAAACAACACGGCAACTACGGCAACCCATTCCATACAGCAAGTAAAGCACAAGGCAACGATTCACAGCATTTCAGAAACTCCAGTGTCATACTGTCACCTGAAACAAAACACTATCTCTTCAGGTGCTGTTCGGCACATCTTCATGAAGTCTGAGTAAACGAAAACTTATTTTAAGCTGATAATTATAAGATATCCTTAAGAATATCAGAATGCAGGCTGAAATGACTGATCTGAAGGATTACTGTTCCAGAAAACTGAGAATGGATGAAAAGACCTATTGCCTTGATGCCACAGTTAAATTTTGAGTCTTAATTATGTTACCATAACTTGCTGAAAAATAGGGTATACTTTATATCTGATGACAGAACAGTGTCCACTAGTGTAAAAACATACTCTGATTACCTACTATTTGTCATGTACAACATGCAAAACTGAAAAGGATTTAAAGTTAAATCTGGTGTCTTGTCTCAAAATATTAACGTAATTAACACGTTATTTACATGTGGAAGTAGTTACATACACCTGCTGTTTATCAGCCAGTTACCATTTAATAGGTCTAACCTGTTTGCAAACGGGCAGCCCAAACAGTGTTCTAAAGTCATCAAATATTGAGTTCTTCCATGAAGTCCTTTATAAAGCACATTACACATAGGCTTCTTTAAAAATGAAAAAGAAAAAAGTTTCACAAAGACTAAAACACAGATTCAGAAAAGCGATCATGGCTTAAGGAACCAAACACTTGCGACACCCTTGTAACCACCACCAGGTGAAAGAACAACACTCCAGAAGCCAGGTACCAATCACAGTTTCCTCCCTCTCATCCAATCTTGGTACTTCTCTAGAAATCACTTCCTTGCAGGTTTTTTTTTTTTTTTTTTTCTGAACAGGCATTTAATAGTCTTATTTCAGTTGGAAGCAATAGTTGGAGAATAAGTTACAGGGACAGACAGACTAAAAAAAAAAAAAAACCCAAACCAAAAATCCCACACAACTTAAAGTGCTTCCGGCTGCAGGTTTTTAAAAAAATACATAGTTTTATCACCTAAGTTTGCATTCCAAGTCACCAGACCTTGTAATGCTCTTTAAACATTTTTGATATTAGGCTGCTTTTTTTTTTTTTAAACTATAATGCTAATAGGAACTAACAATAAGCCCTATGTTAAAGAGATTCACTAGATTAAGAGCTAAATGCATAGAGAAAAATTACATTAATTATTTACTGCCTAAAGAGATGCAAAACTGAACTCTATTATATAAACAAGTCATGTGTCAGTAATATTTCATTTACACCAGCTCACTGCTATTCTTTTAAAATATTTATTATTTTAACAGAACATATCATGAAGAAGATTTGCACACTGATTTTTCAGCGTGAGCATCTGATTTATAAAAACAACTTGAGCCATGTATTAATATTACACTTCAGCCATAAGACAAATTCCACCTATCCCATAAGATAGGTCAAAGCTGTAATTTCACTTTCGATTAAACAGAAAGGAGTCAATTTTGTGGTTTACGAAGTCAGCAAAAACATACTGCAAAATTAAAGCTATTATAACATTATGGTGGTTACAGCAGAGTATGTATTTTAAGATCCCTTTTATATTTTATCCTGGAAACGTGGATATGAACTGTTCTGTATTTAGATTCAGGGCAGTCATTTTTTTTTTTTTTTTTCAAATTTAGGACCCAATGAATTGTCATCTAACATTCAAAATCTCCACTTAAGTTGATCTAATATCAAAAAATACAATTAAATGTCCTTTTCTTAAAGGGTCAACTATGGCAGGGGTCTAACATATTAGTAAAACAAAAAAATATAAATATTGAAATACAACTTTCTCACAGAATAGATGAAAAACCATACTTAATGCATACAAGACCCTTGGCTTGTAATACAGGACACTTCATTACCTGTCCATTCAAAGTGTTTCCTGTCCACTGTGTGCTAACCATTGTACTAGTTAAGAATTAAATTTACCATTTTGCCTTAAATGCCTATAGTCACATGTATGTATTAGTAATATTTTCCTTAGCGTGTAGTTCTAGCTACAGATAACATACAGGATGGCTTAAACACACTTAGAACTGTCAGGATAACTTTGCCACTGCATTCCTGCAACTGCAATGCACGAATATACCACAATCACATATATGTGTACGTGACATCACCTATGTGCACGCACGTACCAGTGGGAACACACAGAGATAATAAATGGCATGTACATAAAGTTTGATCCCAGTGGAGACTCAACTTTTCATTTCTCTAACAACTTACAAAGCGTTAGGCTGTGTGTCAGGCCGTGCCTGTTTTAATTAATTAAGCAGAAAGTAACTCTACCCAATCCGAACCGCCTAGGGTCCCACCCACTACAAAACAAAATCAGTCCCTACGTCGGACTTGATTTTCGAAGAGCTTCTCAAAACAACGCTGCCCCATGCCCAATAGAGCGAAAGCTGGAAGCAATTACCAAGAAAAACACACATTAAAACAAGATTTTCTATAACACATGCGGACAGAGAACCGAACCAAGTGGGGAGGCGGAGCGGCAGAACGGCTGTAAAAGTGCACGCTGAAAACGGCCTATTTCCCAACCCCCAACGCAAAACAAAGGAAAACTTTAACATGTTGCGGTTTTCAATCAAACCAAGGGCAGCCGGAGGCTCCCCGCGCCCCACCCCCGCCCGCACTCCCGGCACAGATGCCGTGGGCGCAGCCGACCCGCGGACCCGCGACCCCCGGCCGGGAAGGGCCGCTGCCCCCGCCTCCCACTTCAGCCCGAAGGAGTCCCGCCGCCCCCTTGCCGGGCGGCCCGCCAACCTTACAGACGTGGGTGCAGGACTCCCGCCGCTCCGGGGACCTTAGGTCAGACCTGGGCGGGACCGGGAAGGACTGGACGGGGCGGAGACCGAGCAGGGGGCGAGCAGGTAGCGCCGGGAAGGAGACACGCCCGCCGGGCCGGCCGGGTCGGGGGAGGGGAGAAGTTTCCCCCGAACTTCCCGACTCGGAGCGGCGGGGGCGGGAGCGGCGGCGCCTCCGGGCGCGCGCGGGCGCCGGGCCTAGCGCTGCGGGGCCGGGGTCGGCCGCCTCGGCCCGCGGGGCCCCCGCCGGCTCCTTACCTGCGCTCCGGCCGCGCTCGCATGAGTCGCCGCAGCAGCGGGGAAGGGTGGCGGGGAGGGGGCAGCGGGCGGAGACCAGGCCCGCGGGGCCCGCTCCCGTCCTCCACCTCCTCGTCCCGGGCGCCGGACGGCAGCGACGACGGCACAGCCGGCCTCTGGCTCTCCACTTGAGGAGGAGGGAATTCCCGGGCTCCGCACCCCGCGGCCTCACGCTCCACCTTCTCCCCGCGTGGGGCCCGCCCTCACTCCCGGCCCCGCCCCCCGTGCCGGCCCGGGGGGCGGGGGCTACCTGCGCGCGGTCACCGGCTCACCGGAACTCGCGCCGCGCCCGACCCGGCTCCGGCGAACCCGCCTTCCGGCACCGCTGTCGCCGCCGCCGCCGCGCGCGCCCCCTCGGGGGGCGGGCCGCCCCTCCCGCGGTCGCCGTCTGCGGGGAGACCGAGTCGCTAATCCCGACCCAACATGGCGGCGGGGTCCGGGGCGGCTTCCCGAGGCGGCGCAGGCTGAGGGGGCGTGAGGAGGCGGCTTTTCTCCACGCGGAGAGCAGGCCCACAGCGCCCCCTCCTAACTCGCGGACCCCGCGAGATGGGTGGGCTGCCCGCCCCCTCGCTTTCTCGCGTCCCTTCGCCCCGCTCTGTAGTGCCGAGGGCTTTGTTTTCGTGGGGGAGGACCGGGGAGTTTGGGGGGCTGGCTCTTGGCTTCTCAGTACTAGGTTTCCGCACCCTTTGTCGCGGGTAGTAAAATCTCAGTCGCGCCGCCTGAGCCAAGGGGGCGTTCCTAACACCCTCATCACTCGCCTGATCGCCGTCCAAAAACGCTCGCGTCTGGCCGCCTTCCGACCCGGGGATCCTGTCCCAGCCCCGGGAGCTTCCTGTTGACAGTAGGTCGAACCAGCCTTGCCGGGAGAGGGGACCGAAGCCGAGTTTTGTTGGCGACTCCCCTGGTAATGGTGGTTTGGGCTTATCTTGGGACCGCGTATTCTTAGGCGATACTGGCGATGTCCCAACCGAGGAACTGCGGGGCCGGGGGACGCTGGAGCCGGCGGACGCTGGAGCCGGCGGCAGGTATTACTGCCCCATTTGACAGCTGTGGAAACTGAGGCTGCCACTCCAACGAAGGCAGAGCACCCACCAACTGGACTCCTATATTTTGCAGCCGGTTGCTAGACGGAAAGGGGAGTGTCCAGAAGGACCTGGAATTCTAAAACGTGGGCCAGTGTCAGAAAGGGCTGAATATTGAGTCTCTTCTGCTGAAATCACTGCCCTGTCAGACTCGTAGGTTAACTTCCTCTTCGTATTTCCTCTTTGGTGGGGTTATCAGAATTACTAATGTTGGGAGTGTTGGTTTCCTTTGTGGTTTTTAGCGAAATTCAGAATCATCCTTGACAAATACAAAACGATACAATCGTGTGTCAGTATTCTGGTATTCTAGGAATTTAGGAAATTCTATATAAGGGTATGAAAAAAATGTTTTTTCAGCTCACTAGATGAACCAAAGATAGGCTTAGAAAAAAAAAAGATAGGCTTAGGCATTTACATTAACTAAAAGGTATACATAATATGGTGCTTTAATAGATTTAGCTACCAAAACCTCATTTGCTCTTGAGTGTCATGGGCATTAAAAATTTCATGTTGGTTCACCAACCATGGTGGTCCACTGGTTAAGATTCTGCACTTTCACTGCAGAAGGCAGGAGGTTCCATCCCTAATCCAGGATCTAAGAGCCTCCCTGCCTCCCTGTCTCTTGGTTTGTCCAAAATAAATAAATGAATAAATAAACATGTCTTGAAACTTAACATTTAACTTTTTTTAACTAGAAAATAAATTCCTTGAACTGTTACTTTTCTAAACTTCTATATAAAATAGAAATTATATCTTTGTCCTAAACTCACCTTCAAAACAAACAAAAAACCCACCTCTCAGCTTCATAAAATCAACTCTAAAATACTAATTAAAATACACTAAAATAAATTCTAAAATACTAAAGTCAACTCTATAAGGGGTGAGGTGGCTTTGAAAATATTCTGTATGGAGTTTTAAAGGTGGGTGAGGGTGTCAAAATCCTACATGTTTCATTACATTCACTTATCCATGTTTTCTTCTCTTAACCATCATTTTAATTTTATTTTTTTTAAACCTCATTCCCTGTTTTTTCTTTTGGAATATTCATCTTAACATCAAGCTTCAGTCTGTAAATATTCTTGCAGATTTTTCAACCTTAAACTCAGTGGCTCATTTATTTCTAGGCATATTTAAAACAAATGGGACAGGACTTTTTTGGTGGTCCAGGGGTTAAGAATCCAACTGCCAATGCAGGGGACCCGGGTTCAGTCCCTGCTCCAGGAAAACCCCCACATGCTGTGGAGCAGCTAAGCCTGAGCGCCACAACTACTGAGCCCTAGGGCCCGTGAGCTGCGCTAAGAGAAGCCACTGCAGGGAAGACTGCCTGTAAGGAAGAGTGGCTCCTGCTATCTGAAAGTGAAAGTTGCTCAGTCCTGTAGACTCTTTGCGGCCCCCATGGACTATACAGCCCATGGAATTCTCCAGGCCAGAGTACTGGAGTGGGTAGCCTTTCCCTTCTCCAGGGGATCTTCCTGGCCAAGGAAGATTAGACCTAGGGATTGAACCTAGGTCTCCTGCATTGCGGGCAGATTCTTTAACAGCTGAGCCACAAGGGAAGCCCCTACAACTAGAGAAATCTAGTTTCTGCTCCCTACAACTAGAGAAATCCTGCACATAGCAACAAAGACCCAGCGCAGCTAAAAATAAATACACACACACACACACACAAACAAAAAACAAACAGGATAAAGAACCTCAAGTCTCACTGAGTTTGGTTTAATAAGTTGCTTTCAAGTGATTTCTGTTCATTTGTGAAAAGGACAAATGAAGAAGCACAGCCTCCCACAGGGCCCGGAGATCTGCCATGCATTAACCTTATGGGTTAAGGGTTCAGGAGTCATAAGGAGCCCAAATCATGGGGTCCCTGGGTGAGTCTGTCGGACAAAGGGGAAGGCTTGAAATAAAAGAGTGAAATGTGTTAAGTCCTTGCAAAAGTGAAACGCAAAACTTAAGTTTATTAATACTTACAATTACTTGACTGATGTACAGTTTATAGTACATTTGGAGTTTAGCTAGGGCCACACCCTCTCACCCTGGAACATCTGATTCTGCCCGGAAATGGTTGTGTTTAGAATAAACCTTTCCTGCCTGCCGTCAATCATCTGCTGCTGCTGCCTCCATCACTCAGGCTGTGATGATAATCTTCTCTTCCTGGTAACTAAAGAGCCTTGTATTCCTACAGGGGGTGCATGCACTGGTCTTTGCTCTTTATCCTCACTACCACCCCCTCCCCAAAAATGCCTTCCACCAGACTTTAAGTACCTGCCTAAAGCTTGGCGCTCCTTAGGTCCACTCAGTGCCTTGGTTATCTTCACCACCTCAGCCTTGCCTCCTCCACCTGGCCAATTAGGGCAAACATGAGGAGCCCTCTAAGCAAAGATTTGGAAAATCAGGCAAAAGGAAATCATTCATCCTTGAATATTAGGCTCATTGTGCCAAGCTCCGTGGAGAGGTGCTGAAACCCATCCATTTCTGATACCTTTGTTGTTTCACAGACTGGTGCTCACCTAGGCAATTAATTGGATATGTAAGGCCATCTCCTACAATGAATAGACATAAGAAATGGCAGTCTTACATGAGCTTCAGCAAATCTAACCCATCTTTTTGCCCTGTTTCGTTGCTCTCTCCAGTGTCTAATTTCTTGACCACCTGGTCTGTGGTCTTAGATTTCCATCCTGTGCCTGGTATGCTTCCCCAGCTCCAGGACCATTTTTTGGAAATCTAGTCTTTGCTGTCGGAATCTATTCTAGGGTCATCCTGGTTTATTTCTGTGACTACAGTTCTTTCTAGTTCTGCATTTTGGTCCCAGGCCTGTTTCATGTAGACAAATCCCTACCAGCATCGGCAATCTTCCCCCCCCCCCGCCCCCGCCCGCATCATTTTGCCTATTCCTATATGTTTTATTTGGCTGCATGAGATGGCATGTGAGATTTTACTTCCCCAACCAGGGATTGAACTACTGCCCCCTGCAGGGGAAGTGCAGAGTCTTAATCACTGGACCACCAGGGAAGCCCCTGCCTGTTCCTAAATACTGTTGTTTTTCTGTCACTGAGTTGTGTCTGACTCTTTGCAACCCCATGAACTACAGATTGTTGGGCCCCTCTGTCCTCCACTATCTCCCAGAGTTTGTTCAAATTCATGTCTATTGAGTCAGTGATGCTATCTAACCATCTCATTCTCAGTCACCTCCTTTTTTTGCCTTCCATCCTTCCCAGCATCAGGGTCTTTTCCAAGGAGCCGAAGAGTCGGCTCTTCGCATCAGGTGGCCAAAGTATTGGAGCTTCAGCTTCAGCATCAGTCCTTCCAATGAATATTCAGGGTGTATTTTCTTTAGTATTGCCTGTTCTGATCTCCTTGCAGTTCAAGGAACTCTCAAGAGTCTTCTCCACCACCACAATTCGAAAGCATCAATTCTTTGGGGCTCAGCTTTTTTTATGGTTCAACTCTCACATCCATACATGACTACTGGAAAAACCATAGCTTTGACTATACAGACCTTTGTTGGCAAAGTGAGGTCTCTGCTTTTTAATATGATGTCTAGGATTGTCATAGCTTTTCTTCCAAGGAGCAAGCGTCTTTTGGTTTCATGGTTGCAGTCACTGTCTGCAGTGATTTTGGAGCGCAGGAAAATAAAATCTGCCACTGTTTGCACTTCTTCCCTTCTATTTCCCATGAAGTGATGGTATCAGATGCCATGATCTTACTTTTTTTAATGTTAAGTTTGAGTTTAAAGCCAACCAGCTTCAAAACTGCTGTCATAGGACAGAGTGAAGAACCAGGTTAAGAGCTGGGAAGTCTGAGCTTATGGCTGAGGTTCCTAGGTAATCTAGCCTTAGCCATACCTTCAGACTTTGCTGTCCTCGACTTGGCTCCTCACTGTCCTGTGACAGCAGTTTCAAAGCTGGATGACACTTGGCATCGTCTCACATGCCTTCCACCTCACAGAGTACAGCAGACACACAGATTGCAGTGGATACCTTTTGAAGGTGTCTGTGGAACCCAAGGTCCTCTCCTCTGAGAACTCCGCCTCTCCCAATAGCCGGTGTGTAGCCCTTTGGTCTGAGTACCCCAACTGTCAGGCTTTAGCTTGAGATTTGGAATTTGGAGGAAGTGACACAAAGGTGACTCAGGTTATTCCTGGTGGGGTGGTGGGGTGGAGGGTCCAGTAGCGGTAGGTGAGTCTCCAGGGGTGGGGGCAGGGGAGCCGGGAGCAGTAGACAATGGTTTTCAGAGAGAGAACAAAGCAGATGCACAGTGAGAGGCCTGTATGCAGATGAGAGCTTGTAGGACCCCAATGGTAACTCTGCTTGCCTTGAGCCACATGTAAGACCCCAAGAGGGGAACACAGCTGGCCGATCGGCACCCCTCCTCCCCCCAGCTGCCCCGGGGAGTCACTGCTTTTAGATCGCAGCACAGAAGCGCATACATACCTTTTCTCCTAGAGCAGCGGTCCCCAGTCCTTTGGGCAGCAGACCAGTTTTGTGGAAGACAAATTTTTCCATGGACCCAGGTAGAAAGGGATAGTCTTGGGATGATTCAAGCGCATTACATTTATTGTGCACTTTATTTCTATTATTATTACTCTAGCTTCATCTCAGATCATCAGGCATCAGATCCTGGGGGTTGGTGACCCCTGTTCTAGAACACTACATCCATCCTCAAAAGACTTCTCAACACAGCAATTCAGGTAGCAGACACCTGAAATTGACATTAGATGTTGAAGCCCATTTGCTAGCTCTGCCCTATAGGCTTGTAAT